GGGGGGGGAGGGCACGCACCACTGCTCTCCACCAGGTCTTGAAGAGGCCCTTCTGGTTATAGGGCTTCACAGACACGTCCAGCTGGTTCTTGTAGTAGCAGTCAGCACAGCTGACACACACACAGAGATGGATTCAGGCTCCATCCATCCAGGCATGGCTCAGCTTAGCTTGGTGTGGCTTACGCATTGTTGACGAAGAGTCTGAGCACTTTGCCTTTGGGCGGGTACTCCTTCTTGTTGGGGCCGGGCACGCCGCCCTTGGGATTCGTGTGCGTCGCTATCGCCTGCACACACACATGACATGGATGGATGGGATGGGGTGCATGCCATGCCGTGCTGTCACCACACAAACAAAACAACCAAAGGGACACAGGCATGCACCTCACTCAACTCAACTCACCTCGATACACATGCCGCAAGTCTTGCCCTGGAGTGTCAGCCAACACACACACACACACGGCCGTGGATGAGATGGATTTTGCTGCCGGCAAGCCAAAGCCGAAGCCATGTGCCCGTCTATCCTCTCTCCCTCTTACGTTGGCGAATGTGTTGCCGCCGACGTTGGGCAGGGCCACGGAGCCCCACACGCCGTTCTTCCCCGAAGGGGGCTGATGAATGAACGGATGGACGCAATGCATGCATGCCAGCGAATGACAACGGGGTGGTCTCTTCAAAGCTTTGTCCGGATCTCTCTCTCTCGTGTGCCCTTTGATGCACCGGTGTGTACCTCAGGGAACATATGACAAGTCCCACGGGCATCTGAACACACGGAGGCATTGAACACAACACACATCCCCCACAGAAAGATGGGCGTTGTCCATCCATCCATCCGTCCATCCATACGCACTTTTGGTGAGGGGGTGGTAGTGGCTGATGCTGCCCAGTCTCACCCCCTTGTACAGCGACTTGGCCTTCTGAACGTCCTTCTGCCCCTCAACTGCCCACACACCACACACCGTCAGCCGAAGCCCTTTCTGCCCTTTTCTCGCCACTCCCATGTGTTATTTCTCACCGAGGGAGCCGATGAAGGCCACTGTTACCAGGATAGAGAGCCCCATGACCAAAATGCCCTCCACGAGGAGCCTCTTGATGATTGTAAACGGATCTACCTTGAGGCGTCATGATCTTTCTTGTTTTCGTCGTCGCGTCGCTCGTGGGAGCATTGGGGACGTCCCTACGCCACATGAGGCTTCAGCAGGAGCCGAATCAGCCGATGACCCATCCTGGGCCCATGCCGTCTGGTGAGATCTGAAACAGGATCTGAACAAAATGGGAGATCCATCGGTAGATCTGAGTGTGTGGGGATGCGTGTGGTTCAGGAGACCCCATGTGCAAGAGCGGCATTGTCAGCAAGGACCTCGCCGTCTGCTGCAGACCTGAATGGTGCGCAGCGCATGAACCTTCCAAAGAAAAAGCTTAAGACGGAGGAGAGGTCCTTGGGTGTGTTGTGTGTTGTGCTGTTGTGCTGTTGTCGTCGTGCAGCTCCGTTTGCTCTGACTATGAGGACTGCAAGGTCGCAAAGTGACTGACCAGCCATGCATCTCGCAATGTGTGTGCTGCACTGCACTGCAGGCGAGCCCCAATGTCCCCGCCCACTGCTGCCCGGCGCTCATCGTCAAAGGTGCGTGTGTCCGCCTCATGCATGGCTGCGCGAGAATAGCAGGTGGGTGCATGTCGATGCGTGGCTGCAGCTATGGAGTCGTGTGATGCCACGCATCCGCCGTGTGTCTTGTCGGAGACATTCAAGAGTAAGTGGGGGGGGGGCTGCCTGCCTGCCTGTCTGTCTGTCTGTCTGTTTGTGTGTGTGTGTGTGTGTGTGCATCGCTATGTGTGACGTATGCAGCGAGTGGGCAGGAGTTCCCTGTGGGCGTCAACGACACGTCAGCCGAATGCAACTCGGTCGAGAGGAACGGTCAGCGTGTCTGTCGTCGGCACATTCACATACGTACTGAATGTGTAATGATGGTTGGTTGATGCATTAGAGAACTCTCGTCAGGCTGCCGCTGCCGCAAAGGGAACGGTCGGCCCCACACCAACCAAACAGAGACATAAGGGATTCTTTCACTTGGATGGTTGCAGGTGTCTGGCAAGGCCATCGGAGCTGCCAACGCCGCCGACGTGAAGACGGGACTGATCATGCCATAGCTATGTGTCTCACTCTCTCTGTCTATGCAATGCAGGGGCTGACCGACTACGTCATGAAGAACGCGCCGAACAGTGAGCAGTCGACAGAGGCACAGGCACACCGAGCCGACGCGCAAATGGCGGTGTGGAGAGAGAGAGAGGGAGGGAGGGAGGGAGAGAGAGAGGGGGATAAGCCAGGTCGCGAGGGCATTCCTTTGTTGCCTGTTCTGTTTATGCAGGCTGGCGTGGCTGCACAGCAGGCCCTCGACCCCACCAAGACAGCCCAAGACATACAGCCAAACACGTACGCAGCCACGCACACACACACACAGAGAGAAAGAGAGAGAGGGACAACATCGATCACTGGAGCATGTGGTGTGGTGTGCGGCAGGGACCATGCCGTGAGTGCGCGTGATGCGGTGCGGGCCATCGCTGAGGGCATCGCCGCCGCCAAGACGCAGACGTATGACACACAGGCGCCACATGCCCCCAGTGTGTCGCCAGCATGACGCCAGCCAGGGTGGACAGACAAGTGGATAGACCATATGGTTTGGTGTGTGGACTGACGGACGATTGATCGCATGTGTGTGTGATGTCAAAATTTCGATGCAATGTATTGCAATGGTCTGCATCATGATGTACTCAGATTCGTCCACAGTCCACCCCTAATCCACCTAATCCATCCATCCATCCACCCATCACCATAAATACATCACCCCAATGTGCCTAGGCCACAGAACGCATAGATCCACCCGCCCCGCCCCGCCAGCGGCACACAGACACACACACTCACACTCACAAACACACTTGTACAGAAAAAGGGCGTCGATGCACTGAGTGCATCGCGCCCACCCGTCCACCGCATCATGTGATCGTCAGACACATCCTCCCTCTCCATTCGTCAAGCCACGTTAGACAGTTGCGAGGGCTCTCTGGAAGTACTGGTTCTTGAGCATGCCTGCACACACACACACACACACACACAGGTGTGAATCTAATCTCACACTCCATCCCTCTCCCTCTGCTGTGCAGTGCAGTGCAGTGCTCACCCTTGTACATCTCCACGAATTGTTCCTTCTTGCCCATGGTCTCTTGCACACTCTTGACCGTCAGCATCTTCTTGTACCACGCCAGAAAGGCCCGGGACCCCTTCAGCAGCTCCTCCCAGCCAACCTTCTTGAAGGCCCCGTGTGTGGCCGCCGCACGCTCCACAAACGGGAAAAGGGCGATGTCGGCCAACGTCATCTTGTCGCCGACGAACCAGCTCGACTTGGAGGCGTTGGCCTTGAGCATCATCTCGAGGAAGGCGATCTCATCCATCAGTTTCTGCTTGAGCATTGCCTCTTTCTTGGGCTTGTTGCAGCTGAGGTAGAGGTAGAAGGCCTTGACGAAGGCGTCGACTCGCTGCATGACGATGCGCATCCTGGCCCGCTGCTGCAGGTCTGCCGGCATGAGAGAGCTGCAACCAACACAGACCCGGTGCATTCAAACATGCACGCACTCACGCGCACATTGTGTGGTCACTGTGGTGTCACATTTCACCTCTGGAATGTCTCAGCGAGGTACTCGTTGCACACATTCGACTCGTATACGACATCATCGAAGTACTGGACCACAGGCACCTTGCCTGCAACACACACAGACACACATGCACACACACAGACACATAGAGAGCGCCGGACAGGACGTATGCGTGTGGCCACATCGCCCCTTTCGCGCACGCACCATTTGGGTTCATCTGTTTGAACCATGCCTCCTTGTTGTCCTTGCCAAGCACCACATCCTTGTGCTCGTACCTGAGGGAGGAGCAAAGGCAAACCACATCTATCCACACTCACACACATGCAGCCAGCAATCACGCTTACGGCACGCCGAGCTCCTTGAGCACTATCCACGTTCTCTGCGCATACGGACACCCTGCACACACACACACATCCATCCATCCATCCATTCACAGACCTCCCCAGGCACCATCAGATAGATCTGTTACGTCCGTTCGTGTAGAACTTGAGCTGCGGCAGGCTCTTCAGCTCTCGCTGGTCACTGTTGCTCTCCACCGCAGCTGCAGGGGCAGGGGCAGCCACGGTTGCTGGCGGTTTCAACGCCGCTGCTGCTGGCTGAGAGCGCCTTCCGATGGCGTCGCAAGCTATGATGAGCACGGAAATGACCACCAATGAAGCAAACCCACCCATCATCTTGCTTGGACGTGAGAAAAGAGAAGCAAAGATGGAAAAGTGCTCAGCGCGCAGATTGGCGATCGGTGTCGGGAATGGGTCATTTCCTTCTCCCGTTGCCGATGCTCTCCGTCCTGCCTGTGTGATCCTCAGTGTATGTGCAGCAGCCGCATATGGTCTATTCATCGGTCTTCTTCATCGCCCTCTTTTTCTCGGCTGCGGGATCTTCACTCCTTGAACGCATTCTGCAGCCTCTCAATGAGACGGATCCATCCAGTGCCACCGAGCTGTGTCCACTCGGGTACAGACGAGTGGATTCCGAGTGTGAGCCTTGCGCGCGAGGTATGGCACACAGACAGACACAGCACCAGACAGGGCACACATCAGCGCACGTGGCATGCGTGTCCGTGCAGGGTCGTTCAAGAGCGAGCTCGGACCGGGCCCCTGCACTCCCTGCCGCAATGAGAAATTCACTTCCCTTCCCGGCTCAGTTTCGGAGGCAGACTGCTTCTGCAATCCAGGATACATCACGTACGCAATCCAGCTTCCCCCTCCCCCGTCTATGCAGACACACCTCTCTCTTCCTCTGTGCAGGAATCGCAACGACAGTCAGTGCTACGAGTGTGAAGGGGGTCTCGACTGCTCGGAGCCCTTCCCGTTCCACCCCCGCGTGGAGCCTGGCTACTACCAGCTTGAGGTCACTCTCTCCATCCTTCCTGAACACGTCCATCAAGATGAGCATGAGCAGGATCGCGATGTGAGGACGCAGCGATGGGAGTGGAATGCTAGCCATTACATTGCGCTGCCGAAGCTCGCTGAACTAGGAAGGCCGGTCGGCAACGATACCTACACACGAAAAATGACCTCGTAAGCACACGACGCCAAAAGCGCAGCTAACAGGACAGCCACGGGAGTGGAGGGCAGTCACTTGTGGCGTCATGTGTGTGCCGACATATATAGGTATGATGCGGGTATCACGGCGTTGCCCGTTGTTGTGGAGTGTCTTGCGCGCGATGCCTGTCTGGGGACCGATCCTGACACAGGACTCAATTTGTGCAAGGTAGGTATGGTAGGTATGGGTATGTCGAGCGATGCCTACACGTGTTGCTGTTGGTTGGTGTGTATGCGTGCGCTGCAGAAGGGTCAGCATGGTTTTCTGTGCGGTGCCTGTGAGGGTCACTATACGCGTACAAGCCCATTCTATTCATGCGCCACGTGCAACACTTATGCTCAGAGCATGGCCGCAATAGTCGTCGCGAACTTCGTGGCCCTCGGCTTCATATTCGGCTTGACGTTTCTCTCGCAACGGTGAGATGAATGAGTGGCAGGCTGTGTGCGTGAAGCGAGCCCTTTCCGTGTAGCACTGCTGCGCTCCCCCGTGCGCGCATTCACTCGATGCTAATCAAGATGGGACTCGTTCATCTTACAGCGGTACAAGGAGAAAATGGCGAAACACATGAGTCTCTCCCTTTTGTGTCATTCTCTGCCTTTACTCAGATGAATTGCCTGGCACAATTCGGAATCTACACTGCCGATATACAGTGGCCCACATGGGCGGCAGCCACGCTCGCAAATCTGTTTACATGGGACGGGGGCCTGCCGGCAGCGTACGGCGACTGGGAGTGCCTCTTTCGACCTCGCTTTGGTGAAAATGCCTTGCTATGGCGGCACGCATTATGGGTCATCTGGCCGGCAGTCTGGCTACTCGCTGTTACCATGACAGGTTTGTGGACATATCACAGACAATGCGTGAAGTACAAGTGGACAGCGCCCTTTGTGTACCTAATGTGTGTATCGCAGGGGGCATTGGTATTCTTGTTCGTTACTGTCTGTTGCTGCTGCCGACTTGGCGTGGCAAACATTCATCGTACAGGTAAGAATATGTGAGCATGAGTGCGCATGAGATACAGTGTATACAGTGTATATAATCATGTGACGAACGGTATTCTATCCGTCTCTCCCTTTGCACCTGATCGGTGGAAGCGCTACTACAACCGCTACCACTCCAAAGTGTCCCTCCATCCACAAGGACAAGCAAGGGCATGAATCAGCTGCTGACCATCGTCGATATGAGTCCAAGCCATCGGTATCGACGGCCCCATCCCTGTCCAAAAGTGAGAATGTCCCTTCGAGCAGCGACCAACCGCTCCTCAACCGCAGCACAGATAACGCAGTGAATAGCGGGATGGACAAAGATGGCAATATAGTGGTGGCTCTTTCGATGCCTCACGAGGAGACAAAGAGGAGAGCAGTGCGCACAATTGGAGCGCTAGGCATATTCCAGGTACTACTACAATGGCTGCCCATTCGTTGAACGAATCATTTTATGCAGATAAGTGCTAATATGGGTTTGTGGCGCTCGATATTTTTGTTCCTGGGACAATGTTGGCTCTTGTGGATTGTCACGTGGACATTCGCACACCCCAGTATGTATGAAGTCGATGCACATAGACGATTGAAAGCGATCTCCTTGTCTGCATTGTGTTTCTTAGCTGTTACAAGGAACACTCTTGAATTACTACGGTGAGGGACTATGCGTTGGACTGTACCTTTCTTGTGCATATTTTGTGTTGTCTCCTGTAGATGTCATACGGCTCCGTGGCTGAAGCCCGAATATACGACCAACACAAAATACGTCGCCATGGACGTTCTTGCTTTCGCAAAGCGAAGACTTGCCATCAATCCCAATATCATCTGTTTGTAAGGATCACTTCATCACACTCATCACGTGGCTCGGCTAGCTATTGTCTCTCTTTAATGCATGTCTTACAGCGAGAAAGAGCATAAGCTTTTTGGGCTTGTTGGTCTTGTGGGATTTCTTGGTTGGTCCGTTTTTCCGGTGTTTGTACTAATAACGGTTCTGTGCCGAGAACGATCGCGTTTCCGATTGCCGGAAACCAGACAACGATTCGGCTTTCTGTACAATGTAAGATGACGGCGTGTGACGGCGTATGTGTATGCACTCAGTATTCTAGAGACTCCTTTTCTTTGTCTCTCTGTGTGTGTGCCAGGGGTAAGGGATAAATCTATATTTCGGACGCCACATGATTTTAATCTTTCTTCTCCCTTTAGCTACCGTCCCGGCTTCTTTTTCTGGGATGCAGCTTATGCGCTGCACCGAGTGGCGGTCTTATTGATAGCGCAGACGGTGGTAGGTGATCCCTCCTTTCAGCTGCTGGCGTGGGCTGTGGTGGCCATCGGTTCACTCATTGTCCAGCTCACCGTGCGCCCCTTCGATCATCGCAAGTTGAACATCCTCAATCGAATGGAAGAGCAGGGGTAAGTGCATGTGATGCGGCGGACTTCTCTTACAGCTCTCATGTGTCATCGATTGGTTGCTCTGTTTTGTTCCAGTCTGGTTATATGGACAGCATCTATTGTTCTGATGGAAGTGGTCGTCATCATTAATTGGAGCCGCACACTCAACGCCCTCATAGTCATTATTGTGGCCGCACTCAACATTGTCCACTACATCAACATACTTTTGCTTGTTGTCCCTCAATTCCGACGCTCACTGGTATATGCGGCATACCAGTATGCTTACGGTGGTAAGACAGGAGATCTGATGAAGAAAAAGGAGATGCATCAAGATGTGTCTATCGCATGCATGCGTGTAGCCGTTGATGGCGTTCTCTGCTGTCGTGCTGGCATTATTTACCTACTGTTGAAGTGGCCGTGGACGTATCTAATTGGCAGAGACGCGAAGTGTCGCGAAGGTGTGCCGAGGGTGTTTATCAACTATACCACCGGATACCTTGACCTCCGCCAGGGCCGCAACAGAATGAACACACGCACGTAATACCATACGTAGAGACAGAGATCCGCTACACAAACACTCGGATGCCTACCTTATATTACTCTTTTCACTTTTGTGGTAGAATATCGTGTTGCCCTCTGAGCGTTGAGGCGATGCTGAAGAGTCTCTCACTAGGCGGCAGGGCCGCTGAAGTGGGAGTAGGAGTAGGAGTCATGCGGATGACTGCACATGCCATGCAGGATGCCATTGAGCTACTGCAGATACACGAAATACCCCCAGGTAGGTATGGAGGGTAGAAAATCGAAGGAAGCTAGGTTTCTTCTTTCTCTGGCTGTAGATCTGTCAGAGTTCTTTTGGAGCCAGGCTTTTTTGTTCCACGCATTGCGTATGAAAATCGTGAAGGACCGAGAGGACCCTACAAGTGAGTGAGCTAGAATACGCAAGTAAAAGGGTGAGAGTCATCTCTTCTGTTTACAGAGGACCGAATGATTGTCATGCCACACCCTATCGAGGACAGCAAACAAGTAACGGACTTCCACAGACACGAAGAAGCCCACGCAAGTGACCAAATGTATCTCACGTGTTTCGCTTTTCTATAGGGTTTCCGTCAGATGAGCATTGAAGAGACGTCTCAGGCGATGAAAGAGGAGGCGGTCAAACAGGCCTCTCTGCTCCTCCAGGTCAAGGCAGCCAAGGCAGCAGAGAGCCATGGAGAACGCTCATTGCACAATGCCGGCCGAATTGTATCTCCCGTCGACCTCCCCGATGGATCGACGGACAGCACAGCCTACCAGGCGGCAGCCGAAGGGCAGTGCAGAACAAGGTCAGGCATGGGCTTGAAACAACGCATGTCAGTTGTTGGTTATCTGCATGTATGAACAATGGTAGGCCCATTATTGTTGGCGTCCCGCTTGATGACTTCGAGGCAAGCAAACAGAATGAGGCGCCTCTTAGGGATGAATGGCTCCTTGCCTTCTTCCCTTTTAGTTGAATCTATCTTATGTGGTTGACGAGCTCGTCACTCGGCAGCAGCAGCACGAGGAGACACTGCGGGGCCAAAGATTGCTCGCCACGACGGAGGGGGTCGCCAGAGAAGACGATGGGAAGCCGGGCGGCTGGATGGGCCTCTACTTGGCCTTCAGACAGGCCAAACAGAAACTGATCCAAACTGGAACTGACCCGGTGATAGACACACAATGCGATCGCGTTGAAAGACCGATGCACTCTTGTCATCTGTTCGTCTTCTCTTGGCGTGTAGGAGGATGTGCCTGCTGCATTGGCCACTTATGCGTCTCAGAAGGACTACATCCCCCTCTCCTCCCCTCATGACGTGTCCCAGCCTCGACCATCGGCCTCCAACGCCAGCATCACATCTGAGGGCTCGCCATCGATGCCCCGCTGCTCGTCTCCCTCGATGCAACACCACCCCTTCTCCAGCATGCGACTGCAGGCCATCCCTCAGCCATCTGACGATATTGGATCGGGCCGGCAGAGAGGCAGCCCTCCGAGAACATCCAGCAGTATGTTCGAGTCGAGGGACTTTAAGAATTTCGCAGAGGCCGTCTATCGCGACATCGCAGGGCCCGTTACGATCCGCAGGACGATAAGGCGAAGCAAGAGCAAGCCGAACTGGGGTGACTGACTTCATTGCTCTTCGTCTCTGTGTGTGTTTTTCGCTTTTGTGTGACGGTCGGTTGGTTTATTCACAGCCAGAGGCGATACGTGGACACATGCGTATATGGAAGTCGGTGTCTTGATCGGCAGCTACATGCATGTGGCGCGATTGTCGCGCCCAATGTGTGGATGTTGCCGTGTGTGTGTATTTTTATGCGGCCATGGCGCACCAGCCGTATTGGCCGAATAGTGGCCTTTTTTTCTTCCCATTTGTGCATCACTTGCATGTGTTTGGTCGACCGACTGTGGTACTTACAGCCGCAAGACGATGAGGTATGTTGTTCGCGCCATACGTGCCTTCATTGCGAACACCGTGACAAACAACGGTCTTCATCACAGCACGCAGAAGTCCAAACCACGAAGCTTGCAGCGACACTGAGATCTGTCGCCGTTCTCACGTATGCGCCCGTCGACAGAGGGGCAGTCGACATGGGCACACGCAGAGACCGGCAACAAATCCAAGAGGACCACGAGACAAGGCTGCACAGACGGCATGGACACACACAGACGTGGCGTACCAAACCAAAAGGAAACGAACGAAGCCATACGAAGCCATCAATGCATTGCAAGCACAATGACAGACAGACAGACAGCCAGTCAGTCAACCGATCTTACGTACGTGCCATGAATGCAATGAACGCATCTCTGTCTGTCTGTCTGTCTGGTCTGCTCGTACTCTGCTGTCCTGTCCTGTGTGCACACGTGTGTGTGCTGTGTGTGATATCATCCCTTTCCGTCCGCTGCGATGCCCTGTGTGTGTTCGCTCCAAGAAAGTGTTGCATCCGTCAAGTCAATGAATGGCTCGCAGACACACACACACACACACAAAGACAAACAAACAGCCAGCCAGCCAGACACACGGAACAAGCAGAGACAGACAGACAGACCAACCTCTCTCCCTCTCCCTCTCCCCTCCCCTTCCCGATGGATGTGATAGGATGGCTGCCCCTCCCTCCGCTTATGCTATGCACACACCCGAGATGACGTTAGTGGATGGATGGATGCATGGATGAATGTGTCGACAGGTGGCTCGATAATGGCACCTGACAGACACAGCGCACACAAACACCCCCCACACACCACCAATACACACCTGCGGGATGACACTGGTGGTGGTACTGACCTTTCGCGATATCTACGATAGGCCTGACGGCTCGCTGCCGGTGCTGTCCTCCACCATGCTGCCAAGCGACGCAGAGGCCTGCTCTGGCACAGCAGCAGCCACGTTCGCAGCTTCAGCGGCCACGTGGGCAGCGACAGCGGCAGCTATGTGCTCGTCCTCGACAGCGGACTCGGACAACACCATCTCCAGAGCCTCTGCATTGCCCGACACATCAGCCACGACAGCACCACCACCACCACCCCCACCAGTGGCAGCAGCGTGAGCAGCAGCGACGAGGTGAAATGGGCATGGTGGCGATCTGAGAACAATGCATCAATAGTCGGCGCAGCACACACACACACAACCAGAAAAGAGGTTTCTTTCGTGCCGTGTTCACTCTGTCTGTCTGTCTGTCTGCATGTGTTCCCCTCCCCAGCCACTCACGGTGATGCATCGAGGTCCGGCAGGGCCAGCGATGGCATCCCCGAACTATTTATCCCGATCCATCTATCCAGCCATCCACCCACCAATGCGCAAACAACACATCACATAACATCACATCCGCCATGCCGAGGCCGTGCTGTCTTGTGTTGTGTTGTGTTGTCCACTCACAATTGGTCGTCCGCCGCAGCCGGCACCTCAGGCGACCCCTCAGACGGCTCCACATGTGTGGAGCCGTACTCTGGCTCCGGCCCCTCCTCTCCTTCGGGCGGTATGTACGGCGCCCACGGCAGCGGAATGGCAGGTGCCTGGGGAGGCGGCACCCACGGCAATGGGATGGCCGGGGCCTGGGGCGGCGGCGCGTAGGGCAGGGGAATGGCCTGGTTCGGGTTGGCTGGGAGGGGGGCCGTGGGGGGCGGCTGTGGCGGTGGTGGCGCTGGGGCTGGTCCGGGAGGGACTGGCTGGGGAGGAGCGCCAAATGCCGCGCCATACCCCGGAATGCCATCCATAGTGTCGGGATCGACCCACCAGTCACCTCCCTCCCCTCCGAAAAAACCCCACATGTCGTCCAAACTGCAACCAAGCGCACACACACACACACACACATACATCCATCCATCCACCGTCGCATCCCTGTGCTCGTGTCACCTGTTTTCCGATACATCATCCGGCCAGAAAGCGCCGCCGAAGGGCACCCCCCCGCCAGGGGGCGATGGGTGAGGCGTGGGCGGCCGGTACGGCGGCATGCCCTCATAGAAATACGGCCTACACCAGCCAGCCACACACAACACAGATTAAAACACAGGTGCGTGGTTGTGTGCTTGTGTGTCTTGTCTGTCTTGTGGGGCTGTTGCTGCTGCTGCTGGTGCTGGTGCTGCTGGTCTTTGTTTGTTTACATCTTGCAGACGTCGCATTTCTTGGCGACGCTGCTGCGCGAGCTACGGCCTGAGAGCAAACAACACGCACAGAGGCATCCACGAATGGATAAGTAGAGCACCCCCCGGTGTCATTGTGCATTGACGTACCGGGCGCCGGAGTCTTGATCCACTGTTCTAGGCACTTGGTGTGGACCCACTTGATGCTACCCTTACACCCACACGGTGCCACCAGCGGCCCGTCATCCGCGGCATCGGGGTCGTCCTGACACACACACACACACACACACACACGATGGATGCCACCCACAATGATAATCGCTTCCTTCCAACGTACGTACCTCCGAGAGGCGACAGAAGCGGCAGGTCCTCTCCTCTTTCTCCAGCTCTCTCTCCCCCTCTACCTCCCCATCTCCCTCCCCCTCTCCCTCCCTAGTATCGGCCGTCTCGGTCACCTTGGCCATCCCATCCCGCCCACCCCTGGATCCGCCCAGCCGCAGACCGCCAAATGCCGCATGGAACAACCCACCCAAACCACCACCCTGCTGCTTCGACTGCTGCTTCTTGCTGGTGGCCGTGTTTGGCGGCGAGGGCGGCCATAGCCCCGGACACGGCGCCATCGTCGGAGGGTGCGATGGTTTGCTGCCTGGTGCAGGTGCCGGTGCTGGCGATGGCCCCTTGAAGGACGTCGAGCAGTGCGGCCCCGGCGCGTATGACTCGGGCGTCGGTGGGCTGCCTAGTGCAGGTGCCGGTGCTGGCGATGGCAATGGGTTGGGCGATGGCCCCTTGAAGGTGGACGAGTGCGGCCCCATCGACGGGTATGGCGGGACGAATGGCGGGCAGGGGGGCGGGGGAGGGTACCTGGGCGGGGGCAGGCCATGCGGATGGGAGTGGGGATTGAACTTCTGGGTGTACGGCAGGGGCTGGCTGGACGGAGCCGCCTGGTCAGGATGGGTTGCGTACTTGTTGGGGTACGGCACGCCCTTGGGTGGTGGTGCTGGCATCGTCGGCTGCATCCCGTGCTGCTGGTAGAGGGCGTGGAGGAAGGGCGAAGGGGCAGCGGGGGGAGGGCCATTGGGCATCATCTTCTGCGCCTTCATTTTGGGCGACACGGGGGGAGGGAAGGCCGTCGGCGCCGGCTTCTCCTGGGCCACCTGAGGCTCGAGTGTGGCGCCGTAGCCATGCATGTGGTGGGGGTAGAAGTAGAGAGGGTCACCATAGCCGTAGCTATGGTGATGGTGATGAAGATGGTGCGAAGAGGGCGGTCCGCGAGGCAGCGGTCTGCTGGGCGCCCCCGGATTGTACAGCGGCGGACGCATAGTATCGCAACAACTGCACACACACACACACACACACATTTCTGCAACTGGCAGTGGGGATGCATGCATTCCTCTCTCCATCAATGCGTTCTCTCACCTCGACAACCAAACCGGGAGGGCTCCTTATCCCTCACTGACACATTAGTGCGCTGAACAAGCTCCTCGCCGTCCCAGGAGGACTGGCTCGTCCGGTCTCGGTCACTTACTCACAGTTGGCCGCTCGAGAGGACGGCGGCTCATTAGATGATGAGTCCTCAACGCCGCCTGCCCTCTGCCGTCCTCCACAAAGCGCCGAAAAAAGGTCTCCAAGTTCCAAGGGTTTCTCAGGGTTTTAGGGTCCAGGATTCCGAGGATGAAGGAAACGGCCGAAGCCGGCACCAGCTAGACGCCAACCTACACCAGGACGGAGGGAAAGATCTCATTCATGAACGGTGATTGATGGCGGATTGATGAAGATGAGTCAGCTTCGCATCTCCTGCCCGCAGCTGCGGACTCGCTGTGCGCCTCTGCGGCATCTTCCCACCCATCCACTCACCCTGATTCATCGCGTGCCCGTCACTCCCGCCCTGATCCATCACATTCGCGCCTTCTCATCGTCGGGCCACTCGGAGCCCTCCCTCTCCCTCCAGCAGACGCTCGATATCGTGGCGCAGCAGCAGCGGCTCACCCCGCCCGAGTACCTCGCCAGCCTCAATCAGGTGTTCAACGCCGCTCTCAAGGAGAACAGCGGCACCTTCTGGGACGACCATCGGTTCACGGCCTTCCAGGCGATGCTCGTCAAGCGCCTGCCTGCGTTCGGGGGCGCTGACGTCTACCGAGTGCTGACGGCCTACGCCAGGCTGCAGTACTGCCCGGAGGGGACGCTGGATGACCTGTGTGCGGCGCTGGTCGAGAATTTGGGCGAGTTGTCGGTGCTGCAGCTCAGTCATACGGCGGTGATACTGTCGGCGCTCGAGGTGACTGACCCAACCGTGCTGGAAAGCTATTGCCAGGTGATCAACAACACTGAGAGGCCATCAATCGCTCACCGTTTGTTGACAGTCTGGTTTGCTCTCTTTGTGTGTTCGCTCGTTCGTTCATTCATTCATTCATTCAGCGTGTCCGTGAGCACCTGCCCGCCCCGACAGAGGAGGGCTCCACCTCCCCCCCCTCCCCCCTGGACCCCCGAGAGGCCACGTTTCTGGCGCTGGGCCTCTCGCATCTCGGGTGGCGCGACCTGCCCACCTTACACGGCCTCGCCACCCTTGTTGTGGAGCACTGCAGTAGGGGCAAGGGCGGAGATGGGGAGGGGGAGAGGCTGTCGGGGGCTCAGCTGTCGACGCTGCTGCTGTCTTTCGCGACGCTTGGCGTGCAGCATCCCTCGCTGTACCAGCATCTGTGCCGGGAGATTGCCGGTAGGTGGGCGAGAGGGGGTGGGTGGATGGATGGATGGTGTGGTGTGTGGCCATGTAGATAGTTTGCCGTCCTTGGCCCCTCAGCACCTGGCGAATGTCGTCTTGGGCTTGGCCACCTATGGCGACTACCCGATTCACCTCATGACGGTACAAACAGACACACTGATAGACCGATAGGCACACACGAGAAAGCCATCGTCAATCACTCTGTTCCTCTCCATCCCTCCCTCCCTCCCTCCCTCCCCTCTGTGCAGGCCATCGAGAGCCGTCTGAGTGCGGTGCTGTCTCTGTACAAGACCGAGGATCTGCTGACGGTGGCCTGGTCGCTGGTCGCTTTGCAGTTCTTCAGTGTGGACCTGTTGGCGCACATCGGTGCGGCCATGGCGCGCACACTCGACCGCACGGCGCTGAGCCAGGACAAGGAGCGGCAGCTGCACCAGTTCTCCCTCACCATCGAGCTTGAGGCGCCGGCAGAGATCAAAGAGGTCCGTCTGTGTGTGGGGGGCTGGCTGGCTGACAGGTGTGAATCTATCGGCATCCCTCGTTCGTTCGTTGCCGGCTGTTGTGCGCAGAAATTGGTTGAGAAGGGCGTGTGGAACACGCTGTACCAGGTGGGTAGCGATCGAATCGACACACTCCCATAAAACAAACACGCATGCAGCGTCAAAGGTGATGGATGCTCGCTATGCCTCGGGGTGTGTGTGTGTGTGTGTGTGTGAGCCTGAGTCCGTCCCCACAGAGCCGGCGAGCGACAGCCACCCGACCGTCAAGGCCATCGTCCAACAGGTGCTATGCCGTGTCACACACAGATAAATAGCTGTGTGTGTGTCACGTGATGTGTCTGTCCTTCCCCTCTCTCAGCTGTCGTCGTGTCTTGACGCCCTTCATGTGCCGCACGAGCAGTTCCTCACCGTCGACGGCTTCTACACGGCCGACATAGCTGCCACGGCACCACCGCACCTCACACACACACAAGTGGGGGCACCAGTATCGGCAGCAGCGAAGGAGGAGGCCAACTGTCGAGTGTTCTTTCATGTGGACGACTCGACGTACGATGACTTCGCCGAGCCGCTGGACCCCTGGGTGACGCTCAAACACCGGCACGTCGTCGAGCTGGGATGGAAGCTGGTACTGTACCACACACAGAGAGCAGAGAGCAGAGAGACAGGGAGAGAGAGGGCCCGCAATGGGCCTTGGGCCTCTGCTGTATGTGTTGTCTGACTGCAGGTGTGGGTTCGCGTGAGCGACTGGGATGCGCTGGACAGTGACGGCGAGCGCATGACGTACGTCAAGAGGGAGCTGACGGGCGAGACCACCGCAGACGTCACAGACGACACACACGAGGAGGAGGATGGTCATGATGTGGATATCGATGAGTCGGGCAAGAGCAGATAGACCTGGCGTGCGGTGATGTGCGGTGATGTGTGTGATGGCTGAGTGTCCGGTCACTTGTTTTTCGTTCGTCGGTGGAGGGATGGACGGGATGGACGGATGGGCCCACTAATTTACACACACTTAGATGACATGAATGGTCGATTTGTCGAAATCTGTCCATTCGTCTGTCACGTCTCTCCCGGCAAACACACACACACACACACACACTGCACACACACACATTGCACACACAGGCCTTGCCCCCCCTCCTCTCCCTCTCTGCGCGTGGACCCTGCGGGTGTGAGTGTGTCTGTCGGTCTGCCACGCACTCCTGCACACGCGCATTCACCAATTTCGCATTCACCAATTTCTCACTCCTGACGTACCTGTGTGTTTGTGAGTCACCAGTGTGATTGTTTGAATCTATCGTGGCGGCGAGCGAACAGCCGTGCCGTGAAGGCACGAAGAGAGCGAGAGGGTGTACGTGAGTCTGTCTGCGTCAGCGAGGACGACAGCCGTCGGCGAGGCATAAGACAGACAGACAGGTTAATCCGTGATAACTGGATGGATAGATGGCCAGTGCATAACTGGATGAATTCGTTTCCTGTCGGTCCATCCATGCAATGAGAGAGGGCTGTGCACGCACACAATGATTGAGAAGTGAGGCAGTCAGTCAGTCAGTCCCCATCGTCCGCGACACCCACACCCACAGCCAGGCAACCCGCAGGACAGATACATATAGAGAGGAGACAAGGAGAGTGAAGGGAGGGGGGGAGGGCTGCATCCACACACAGCTCTGCAGACGCGATACAGACACCATGTGATGTGGGCGGGTGACTTAAAGACAGGACAGCCCACAGCCCACAGCCAGCATCGGTGGGCCAGCGGCAGCAGCTAGCTACGGAGCCCGTTGTGAGCAATGCAGCTACAGATAACCTCCTGGACACCCACACAGCCACACAGAGGGCACGACATCCATCCATCCATCCATTGGCCGGACAAACCGATTTGTGGCGTAGCGGTACTTTTTTGTTGGTTGGTCATCCGAGCGATGCAGTGCCGTCAGCGCCGTCCTCGCCTGTCAAATAAACACACACACGCACGTGTGTTGCGGATTGACACCAGATGTGTGTGCCTCTCTTCCTTGGTTGGTACCTCCGCTGCCGTCAGCCATATTGTCACCGTCACTGCCGTCTACACCACACACACAGAAGGCCCATCCACCACACACGGTTTCACTCCCATGCTTCCGTCTCTTCCCTGTCCGTACCATCGTCATCGTCGCTGTCATCTTCCTGCTGTTGCTGCTGCTGGTACTGCTGCTGTACTCGTCCGTCGAAGACATATGGCGCCACACCTGACCCCAGCGCCACGCGGGCCAGCCGAGTGGTGACCGGGAAGCGATGCTTGAAGGCGCCACCAGCACCAGCCACAGGCGCTTCGGTCGTCAGGACACTTACCCACACTGCAGACATACGAGAGAGAACAACACATGACATGTGACCGGCCGGCAGCGCTGCCTGTCTGTCGGCCTGACCGTCATCAATGTCTCCCAGGAAAGAATCCTCAATGTGAATCCACGCGACGAAGGGGTGGCTGCTGTCGGTCAGCACCAGCCATCGCCGGCCACCATCGCCCCAGCTCATTGTGGTGGTGCAGCCGGCCACCGGTATGTGGGGCGACTGGGTGAGGAGGCCATCCAGACGGCCGCCAACAACACGCCTGAACCAAACACACACACAGACACAATCACACACACCCCTCCCGCCACTATTGTGTCGTCACCTGTCGAGTGTAGTCACTGTGTCATTGGTCTGATGAGTCGGGTAGAACTTGTCACCGTAGAACTTGTCGTCTACCGATGCGCTTGGCGAATGACGACAACGACGCGTCGGTGGACGGGTAATTGCCATTGCCCGACTCCCATTCGTTCTGGCAGCGAAAGTGGTGGATGTGACTATACACTGGGGGGTCATGCTGTAGTCGGTGCTGCTGATACAGATGTTGGTAGGGAGGAAGGGGCGGGTCGATGGTCAGCCGGTAGCCGGGCTCGTCCTTGATGGCCCGCACCTCACCATTGGCATGGCTGCAGACAGACACTTCACCCATCCCCAGCGACGGGTCGAACCGCAGCAGCTGCAGCTGTGGGGTGTTGATGCCAACGCCGTACGCACGGCTCAGTGAGTTGGCGAGGCGGTTGCGCAGCTCAGCTATGGTGAAGGCAGCCCGGATGCGCCGCGATGTGGCTCTGAGGCGGGCCGCCGTGACGATGTCGGGCAGATGGCCTCGGCTGCCGACAAACAAGTGGTTGACGGGGTGCTCCTGGCTGCCCCCCTGCAGATCGCACACACACGTAACAATGCAGATCGATACACACACAAGGCACATCTGGTGCATGGCGTTCGGTTGTGTCATACCCACCTGATGCTGCTGCTCTTGCTGTGTGTGGCTGCGGGACGATGCGACGCGGTGGCGGTCGGGCGAGGCGAACAACTTATCTACTGCATCGGTCAGTATCTGCACACACCACACACAGACGACACACAATGACATCAACACGGTGCTGTGTTGGCGATTCTACTGGTCTGCTGACATGCTCACCCCTTTGGTGGTCTGTGTGTCGCCCCACATGAACCGCTGCATCCTCAACGTCGTCATGCTCGACTCCAACGCCGCCTCACTGCTCGAACTCTCACGCACAAGGGCCGCACTCTGACAATGAACAATCGGACACACAAAACCACAAAGGCCATAGATAGGCCATGACAGGTGTCGCTTTGGCTCACCCAAATGCCGCCCGCTATCTGCTTCTGGTTGGTCTTGCGTGTGATGTAGACGGCCGTGGCGGCCAGCAGGCGGACATCGCACGCGGCCAAATCGATGTCACACATCGACAAGAACTGCACACACAGACAGACAGACAGGGAGAAGCCATTCGATAGCTGGAGGTGTCTGTGTGTGGCTGGCGGACAGACTCACCATAAGGTATTTGGCGAATGAAAACAGGCGGCCGTGGGTGTCCATGCCGGCCGCAGTGAACAGCTTCTCCAGACACTCAATGCCGCACACAGAACTATCAGCCGCCACACGACCCACCACCTGCACACAGACAAACAGACAGACAGGTCGGCGCTGCACAGGTGTGCGTCGTGTCTGTGTTTCAATACCTGTGCCTGTGTGTGTGTGGGGTCATCCGGCATGTCGTCCATCAGCAGGTGTGGCTCCAGCCGCTCGACGCAGGCGGCCACACACGCATCTGCTACCTGTGTGTCAACAGCCAAACAAGTGACACACACATCCCATGAGTCCTTACTCTCTGTCTGTCATTCAGATCTCTTTACCTGTGTGGCGTCGTTCGTGTCGATGAGTCTGTCGGCGTGACAAACATCCAGCAGCCGCACCGCCCGCATGAGGGTCGCGTCGCGGCAGCCCATCGACGCTGCTCTCTTGACCATTTCGTCCAACACGGCTGCAGCACATGACAGACATCACAGCACACACCTCTGAGGGCATCTGTCGTGTGTTGCTGTGTGTGCGAGTCGGGCGTACCTCGCTGCTGCGGCCATTTCATGCTACCGACCTGTTTGTCAGACCAACTGAACACAGAACACCTCTTGATTGATCAGTCATCCGGCATTCCCTCTCTTATTGGCCTGCTCGCTTCACCGTGCCGTGCGATACGCCTCAGTGATGAGTTCGGCACGGGCACGGTGATGATCACTGAAGGGCAAAGGTCTCGGACACGCGCAGCAATGATCACGCGAGAGAAGTGTAAGAATAGGTGGGAGAGAGTCGGGGAGAATGGTGAAGAGAGGATCTGCCGGGCGGTCAGTCCCGGATAAAGGATTAAGTCAATGCAACGTAAGGTCTGTGGATTTTGTGGAGAGTCCACGT